TCTAATATCATTCGAAGATAAAAAACAAAAAAACAATAACATTTGCTTAAACAGAATATAAAAGTAAAGAAAAGTTTGAAAGTAATAAGTAATAATAATACTAAAAGAAAAATTAAATTAAACAAAAAATTATAAAAGAAAAAAAGTTTAAAAGAAATAAATATAAAAATATTGGAAAAAAGTTTCTAAAAAAAAACATAACATAAACACTTTTTTATACAGGAAAAAAAACGATTGAAAAAAACCTGTTACTTTCTAATATCATTCGAAGATAAAAACAAAAAAAACTATAATACTTTTTTTATACAGAATATAAAAGTAAAAAAAAAGTTTGAAAGAAATAAGTAATAATAATACTAAAAGAAAAATTAAATTAAACAAAAAATTATAAATGAAAAAAAGTTTAAAAGAAATAAATATAAAAATATTAGAAAAAAGTTTCTAAAAAAACATAACAAAAACACTTTTTTTTTTTTACAGGAAAAAAACGATTGAAAAAAACCTGTTACTTTCTAATATCATTCGAAGATAAAAAACAAAAAACTATAACACTTTTTTTTACAGAATATAAAAGTAAAAAAAGTTTGAAAGAAATAAGTAATAACACTAAAAAGAAAAATTAAATTAAACAAAAAATTATAAATGAAAAAAAGATTTAAAAGAGCTAGCGCCTTTTCATCGAAAAGGCTGTGGCTAATGCTGCCATAGCCTTTGTCAGGCGTTGCCGTTGGGTACCCTTTAACGGTTGTGCATTGATTTCAATAACACGTCGAGGAGCTGTCTGAGGTGGTTGGCGACGTGGAGCTGCCTGAGGTAGTTCCCTACGTGCAGCTACCTGAGGTGCATCTGTACGTGGAGCTGAAAGAGGTGGTTGGTGTCGTGGAACTGCCTGAGGTAGTTCCCTACGTGCAGCTGCCTGAGGTGCCTCTGTACGTGGAGCTGGCAGAGGTGGTTGGCGTCGTGGAACTGCCTGAGGTAGTCCCCTACGTGCAGCTGCCTGAGGTGCCTCTGTACGTGGAGCTGGCAGGGGTTGCCGCTGTGAATGTGCCATGCGCCGTTTCAATTTTGCTGGGTATTTTTCAGATTCTTCAAAATCTGGAATTTGTGCTGGCATTTGTGAACAATTTCCAGATTTTGAAGAATCTGATGTTATTATTCTAGGGTTGGTCTTCATCCTCCCGCAAGACTGATTTGCCGTCGTTTGCTCCTCACAAAGTGGTAATAAATCCCATCTCTTCCTTCTTATGAAAAGATCCGGCTCCAACGGATTGTATTGCATTTCTCCCATCTTTTCTAGTTCTTCGTTTAAATTATTCTAAAAGAAATATGACAATTAATTATTACAGAATAAAAGAAAAGTATTTAACATAAGAGGTTATAAAATACAAGTGTGATTTTTAAAGCAAAAGTTGAAAATATACGCACAAAAAAAAATGAATAATTCTCTTTATAATAAAATTTGTTACTTGTATTTTATAACCTCTTATGCTTATTAAGTTAAAAATGCAATTACATGAGTAATACAATATTATAATAATATGTCACAATAATATAATAAAATTTCTTTATTTCTTTATTTAATTTTCAATTAATTAATTATTATTTCCATTTTCTCTCAAGTATTTTTCTTTTTCTCCCTACAATAAAAAATTTATTTGATTCAAATAACTGATATCACTTGTCTACTATCAAGTAAATATTTATTTAAATATTTATTACTTCAAATAATTTCTACATTCAAATCAAATAAATTGTATTTGAACAAATTTCAGTTTTTGAAATAGAAAATATAATATTTGCTTATAAATAGCAAGTATAAATATTAATATATTAATATGATTATTAAAAAATCTATAAGGTGCCTTCAGAAAATTATCAATTTCATAAGAAAAAAATAGAGAGTGTTCAATAAAATGTAATACTTTACTTACCAATTCCCCTTGCATCTTTCTATATTTACAGTTTTCTTTTCCGCAATAACAATAAACTTTCATTTTCATTTTTTGTCTATATTATTTATATATTATTTATATATTTATAAAATTAGTTTTACAACTCAAGTTGCTTTACAACTAGAACTGACTTGTCTATGTATTTAAGGTTAGGTTGAATAGAAACATTGCTGCTCAGGGGTGACACAGTTAAAAAATTCCCCACAATTTTAGCAAATTTGACGATTTTTATTTAAAAATACAGTTTATCAATGACTTTATAACAAATGGGTTAAAAAATATTTAAATTCACTAAAATCTAATAATTTTTTTGATATAAACATATAAAATAGTTAATTTAAAACATAAAATAATTTGAAATTCAAGAAATTCCCGCCATACTCTAAATTCTTACAAATATCAGGAAAGTACATACACACATTTCTCATAAAATTTAACAAAAGTATTTATTATGTATTATAATTACTGTTCATATATGTATAATTATTAATTAGAATTTATAATTTAAAAACATACATCTGTTTCTTATAAATTTTGTTTAGATAATAAATATAATTTACTATAGGAGAAGTAACCAATCAGAGAATTTTAATTCTTTCAGGGCTGGTATATTACAATATTCAGTGATATATTATAGAATAAATTAATTAACTTACCTTAATTAATAAATAAGTAAAATATGTTAATTATAACTTATTAAATTAGTTGTTATTAATAAGTAATAAACAATAGATGAATTAACAAACAGTTACTTATAATTAAAAAATAAATAATACTAACAGGAATAAAAACCAAACTTACCTTAAATAAACAATTAGTAATAAAATAGATAAATTAACAATTAATTATAATTAAAAATTATGTCATACTAACAACAATAATACAAATTACACTTACCATAATTTATAATTAAACAAATAAATAATAATTTATTATTCTTATTAAACAATTTGCAATAATTTTTTTATAAACAATTAATGACGCCACCTATTGGACATTTGGTCAACTAACTAGGTCGGTAAAACACGGAAAGCAATTACAAATACATAATTTTCCCGTTAAAATTAAAAAATTGACATAATCCAATTGGACTAATTATTAGTGGCGTCATCTATTGGATGGTCGGTAAAACAAAATGGCTGTCAAGCAAATTTGAATTGTCAAATAAGTTTTTAAATTTCCCGCCAAAATTTAAAAATTCTTATAGCCCAATTGTGCTAATAGATAGTGACGCCATCTGTTGGGTGGCTAGTAAACTAACTTAGTCGGTAAAACAAAATGGCGGCCAAGCAAAATTTGAATTGTCAAAAAAAATTTAAATTTCCCGCCAAAATTTAAAAATTCATGTAGCCCAATTGGGCTAATAGATAGTGGCGCCATCTGTTGGGTGTCCGCTCAACTAATTCGGTCGGTAAAACAAAATGGCGGCCAATCAAATTTGAATTCTCAAATAAAATTTTTAATTTCCCGCCAAAATTTAAAAATTCATGTAGCCCAATTGGGCTAATAGATAGTGGCGCCATCTGTTGTGTGTCTGCTCAACTAACTCGGTCGGTAAAACAGATTCCAACATTACCAACCGGGTTTGAATTCGGCCAGCAGCTGATAATGTAGAAATCTACCTTACCGACTGGGGGTAACTTAGCCGAGATCAGAACCTGGGGCAGTATCCCTCTAGCCTTACTACTTGCAACTCACACAAATAACACTTTATAAACATTACAAGAAATGCCTTTGGAATCTCTGAGAGATGTCCAAATAATTATATATAAAATTTTAACTTTCAATTAATAACCTAAATTATAAAGAAGACCTATTTAAAATTCATGATAAAATTGAGAAACTAAGTGAACTAAATTAATTCAAGAAATAAAGGATGGCGCAATAAAGATTGCTGCATCCAAAGTATGTCCATTTAAACTGAACTGGAACACTATCCCAATATTGCAAAGGTTACAATAAAAACATTGACATCAATAAATTTGTTAAATAAAATATACTTTTCCCCACCAAAAGTCAACTTAATAAAATCAGTTGACACACGAAGATCGAGGTCTTCCAAGTGTGGTCTCCGAGTGAGACAGGTGGAACAACCCCTTAGACCAGGGTTGTTTAAGTCAGTAATGAGTGAGCTCAGAGTGGAGCTTGGAGTTTTTGAGAGTTTTGAGTTGGAGTTTGAGTCTCTGAGTTGAGAGACTTTTGAAACAAACCTCTAGTTCGAGGTTGTTTCTGTTTTGAGTTTATTACTGAGTTTTAATTTGAGTTGTGATTTTTGAAGTGAGATTATTTAAAGAGTATTAGAGTTTTGAGTATTTTAAAGAGATAAAGATTTATTTATTTTAAAGAGTATTTTAAAGAGATATTGAATATTTGTAGTTTTGAAAAAGAGAATTTAATTTTGAATTTGATTTAAAGGATACACGAATGAGTTTTTGAGAATCACTTAGTTTTGAAATTGAGAGTGAAAATTAAATAGTAAATGAGAAAATAAAGTTTATAACATATAATTGAGTTTTGAGATTGTTTTAATAATTGTTGAAAAAAAGAGAATATAATATAACTAAAATAAATTGAAGAGTTAATTAAATACTTAAATTGAGATACGTCGATTATTTTGAAAGATATCAATCTGAGGAAATTCCAGAGGTAAATATACTTAAGAGTTCAGAGACTCTTAACATAACACACACACAACATTATTACACATACATTCATTCACACGTAAATAGTATTAGAATACAGAATACTGTAATATTGTATTATTTGAGTTATTACACAATATATATTTATATTCAATTAATTAAATATTTGTTTGTTCTTTTATTTCAAATATTCCTAAACAATTGTTCTGATTAATATGGATTCTCAACCAACTTACTGAATAATAGTGAGGTAAGGAAGGGATCCACTACCTTTTACAATATAATTTGTCCGAAGGGCAACGTGTGTTAAAGTACCAAAGTCTTTTAGAGTTTTAGAAAATATCAATCTTTGATTGATATTGAATAATTTTCTAATATTCAAAATTCATCTTTAACAATTAAATTTTACAATTTTGAATCCTTTATATTCCTGACTTTATTATTAATTATAATTATAACAAAAAGAGCACAAATTCCATTTTCAATATGACTTCCTGCTGCAATAGCAGCCCCCACCCCCGTTTCTTCTCTTGTTCACTTGTCAACCCTTGTAACAGCTGGAATTTACATTTTAATTCGATTCAATTACTTATTTTTAAAAATAAATATAACTATTTTAATAATTGGGTTACTAACCATATTAACATCAAGAATTAATGCCTTATTTGAATTTGATTTAAAAAAAATTATTGCTTTCTCTACTCTAAGACAATTAGGTTTAATAATACATATACTCGCTTATAACCTATCAAATTATGTATTCTTCCATTTAATTTCACATGCTATATTTAAATCTTTACTTTTTCTATGTTCAGGAATCATAATCCATTTTTTATTAAATTATCAAGATATTCGATTTATAGGTTCATTAATTTATGAATGTCCAATAGTAATTATATTTTTTAATTTTGCTAACCTATCATTATGTGGATTCCCATTTTTAGCAGGATTTTACTCTAAAGACATAATTTACGAAATATCCCTAAATTTCTCTATTAACCCAATAATTATAACTTTAATGTACATTTCAATTTCCTTAACAGTAATATATACACTTCGATTAATATATTTTTTAACATTCAATTATTCCTCCTTTTCCTCAATATCCCTAAAAAAAGATAATTTTATTATAAATTTTTCTATTACCATATTATTTTTCATATCAATTATTTTTGGAAATTTAATAAACTGAATAATATTCTCTTCCCTAAGAATTAGTATCCTAAATTTTAAACTAAAATTTTTAATTTATTTAATAATATTTTTAAGCTTAAGATTTTTATTTAGTAAAAAAAAATATATGAAATTTAAATTTCCCCTCAACTAACTTTATTTTAACTAATTTTATTTTATTACACAAAAATTCTTTAATAATTAAAATATGATTAAATAATTTATCTTTAAAAATATTTTACTTTAATGAAACTTTGTGAAATGAATATTATAGAAAATTTTTAAGAAAAACTATTTTTATAAAAAATAATTTTTTTTTAATAAAAATTTTTAATAATTATTTTATTTCAATTTTTATTTTAATCAGATTTAATATTTTTATTATTTTAATAAGTTAATAGAAAATTTTTATCTCTATAATATATATTCAAAATATACACTTTATCAAGTTCATTAACTTAAAATCTTTTCC